GGGGGGAAAAGAGGGAAAATGGTGGGAAAAGGGGGAAAAGGGCGGGAAAAGGGGGAAAAGGGCGGGAAAAGGGGGAAAATGGCAGTCAAAGGGGAAAAATGGCGGGAAAAGGGGGAAAATGGCGGGAAAAGGGGGAAAAGGGCGGGAAAAGAGCAGTAAAAGGGGGAAAAGGGCGGGAAAAGGGGGAAAAGGGCGGGACAAGGGGAAGTGCGGGCAGAGGGGCGGGCTCCGTACCCGCTCCCACTTGGAGTTGATGACCTGGGCCGTGACCGAGGTGTAGGGGTTGCTGGCGGGCAGCTGGATCCCGTGCAGCTCCGCCAGGCGCTGCGCCTCCCGCTGGATCCCCAGGATCGCCTCCCGCTCCTTGTCCGCGTCCGGCAGCGTCGACTTGAACTGCTCGTGGGCCGCCATCAGGCCCTGGCGGCGCGGACGGAACCCCTCAGAGCTCCCGGGAATTCCACGGAATCCCGCAGAATTCATTCCGCGGAACCCCTCGGAGGTCCCGGGAATTCTGCGGAACTCCGCAGAATTCATTCCGCGGAACCCCTCGGAGCTCCCGGGAATTCCACGGAATTCCGCAGAATTCATTCCGCGGAACCCCTCAGAGCTCCCAGGAATCTCGTGGAATTCCGTGGGACTCCTCAGAGTTCTGAGGAATCTCGTGGAATTCTGCAGAACCCCTCAGAGCTCCCGGGAATTCCACGGAACTCCACAGAATTAATTCCGCGGAACCCCTCAGAGCTCCCGGGAATTCCACAGAACTCCGCAGAATTAATTCCGCGGAACCCCTCGGAGCTCCCAGGAATCTCGTGGAATTCCACGGGACTCCTCAGAGTTCTGAGGAATCTTGTGGAATTCTGTAGAACCCCTCGGAGCTCCCAGGAATTCCACGGAATCCCGCAGAATTCATTCCGCGGAACCCCTCGGAGCTCCCGGGAATTCCACGGAACTCCACAGAATTCATTCCACGGAACCCCTCGGAGCTCCCAGGAATCTTGTGGAATTCCGCGGAACCCCTCAGAGTTCCCAGGAATCTCGTGGAATTCTGCAGAACTCCTCAGAATTCCTCGGAATTAATTCCACAGAACTCCTCAGAATTCCATGGAATTCCTCATAACTCCTCAGAGTTCCCAGGAATCTCGTGGAATTCCACAGAACTCCTCAGAGTTCCCAGGAATCTCGTGGAACTCCGCGGAACTCCTCAGAATTAATTCCTCAGAATTCCACGGAACTCCTCAAAATTCCACTGAATTCCTCAGAACTAATTCCTCAGAGTTCCAAGGAATTCCAGAGATTTCCTCAGAATTCCTCAGAACGAATTCCTCAAATTTCCAGAGAATTCCTCGAAATTCCACAGAATTCCTCAGAACTCCATGGAATTCCACAGAATTCCTCAGAACTCCTCAGAATTCCAGAGAATTCCTCAGAACTCCACGGAATTCAACATAATTTCTCAGAATTCCAGAGAACTCCTCAGAATTCCTCAGAACTCCACAGAATTCCTCAGGACACCTCAGAACTCCTCAGAATTCCAGAGAATTCCTCAGAACTCCATGGAATTCAACATAATTTCTCAGAATTCCAGAGAACTCCTCAGAATTCCCCCGAACACCTCAGAACTCCTCAGAATTCCACAGAATTCCTCAGAACTCCTCAGAATTCCAGAGAACTCCTCAGAATTCCTCAGAACTCCACAGAATTCCTCAGGACACCTCAGAACTCCTCAGAATTCCTCAGAACTCCATAGAATTCAACATAATTTCTCAGAATTCCAGAGAATTCCTCAGAATTCCTCAGAACTCCTCAGAATTCCAGAGAATTCCTCAGAACTCCTCAGAATTCCAGAGAATTCCTCAGAACTCCACAGAATTCCTCAGGACACATCAGAACTCCTCAGAATTCCCCCAAACACCTCAGAACTCCTCAGAATTCCATGGAATTCCTCAGAACTCCTCAGAATTCCTCAGAACTCCTCAGAACTCCATGGAATTCAACATAATTTCTCAGAATTCCTCAGAACTCCTCAGAATTCTCCCGAACACCTCAGAATTCCAGAGAATTCCTCAGAACTCCTCAGAACTCCATGGAATTCAACATAATTTCTCAGAATTCCAGAGAACTCAGAATTCCTCAGAACTCCTCAGAATTCCAGAGAATTCCTCAGAATTCCTCAGAACCCCTCAGAATTCCCCCAAACACCTCAGAACTCCTCAGAACTCCACAGAATTCCTCAGAACTCCTCAGAATTCCAGGGACTGCAGCTGGGAGCTGCTCAATCCCCAAAGCTCCCGCGCCTCTGCCGCACAACCGGCGAGGAGGACGCCCCGGAAATGGGGATTTTGGGGGATTTTGGGGATTTTGGGGATTTTGGGGCGGGACTGGCGCCCACCTGGATCTCCTCGATGGTGTGCACGATGAACATGTCCTGCAGGTCCTCCATGGCGCTCTCCATCCAGTTGTTGAAGGGCGCCGCGCGCTTGGCGTACTCCAGGTGCAGCTCGTCGATGGTCTCCAGCTGCTTCTCCGTTTTCTGCCGCCACAAACACCGGCGTCGGATCCCGCGGCAGGATCCGGGGGGGGATTGGAGGTTGGGATACCGGGGTTGGGATCCCGGGGTTGGGATTGGAGGTTGGGATCCCGGGGTTGGGATCCCAGGGTTGGGATTGGAGGTTGGGATTGGAGGTTGGGATCCCAGGGTTGGGATCTTGGGGTTGGGATCCCAGGGTTGGGATCCAGGGTTGGGATCCAGGGTTGGGATTGGAGGTTGGGATCCAGGGTTGGGATCCCAGGTTGGGATCCGGGGGGGATTGGAGGTTGGGATACCGGGATTGGGATCCAGGGTTGGGATTGGAGGTTGGGATCCTGGGATTGGGATCCCAGGTTGGGATCCGGGGGGGGATTGGAGGTTGGGATCCCAGGGTTGGGATCCCGGGATTGGGATCCCAGGTTGGGATCCAGGGTTGGGATTGGAGGTTGGGATCCAGGGTTGGGATTGGAGGCTGGGATCCCGGGGTTGGGATCCCGGGGTTGGGATCCCGGGGTTGGGATCTTGGGGTTGGGATCTTGGGGTTGGGATTGGAGGTTGGGATCCTGGGGTTGGGATCTGGGACTGGGATCTGGGGGGTGGGATCCAGGGTTGGGATCTGGGGTCGGGATCAGGAGTTGAGATCCAGGACTGGGATCCCAGGATTGGGATCCATGTTTGGGATCCGGGTTGGGATCCAGGTTGGGATCCGGGGCCGGGATCCAGGATTGGGATCTGGGTTGGGATCCGGGTTTGGGATCCAGGGCCAGGATCCAGGATTGGGATCCAGTTTTGGGATCCGGGGCCGGGATCCAGGATTGGGATCCAGGATTGGGATCCAGTTTTGGGATCCGGGTTGGGATCCAGGATTGGGATCCAGTTTTGGGATCCGGGTTGGGATCCAGGATTGGGATCCAGTTTTGAGATCCGGGTTGGGATCCGGGTTGGGATCCTGGTTTGGGATCCGTGTTTGGGATCTGGGTTTGGGATCTGGGTTTGGGATCTGGGTTTGGGATCCGTGTTTGGGATCCAGGATTGGGATCCAGTTTTGGGATCCGGGTTGGGATCCTGGTTTGGGATCCAGTTTTGGGATCCAGGGCCGGGATCCGGGTTGGGATCCTGGTTTGGGATCCAGTTTTGGGATCCAGGATTGGGATCCAGTTTTGGGATCCAGTTTTGGGATCCGGGTTGGGATCCGGGTCGCGTCCCCCCGCCCCGGCCCCCGCGGACCTCGAGCGCCTGGCGGCGGCTGTGGGTCAGGGAGCCCAGCAGGTCCCACTGGTCACAGATCTTCTGGCACCGCGCGTTGACGCTCGGCGCGTCGTAGTAATCCAGCTCGCTGGGAA